GAGGTGATTATTGCCAAGTTCAAGGAGAGGGCCTTATTGGTGCCTTAGTACGTGGGTGATGAGGAAATGAAGAAAACCCGGTACCATGATATGTTGAGAGCTAACATATGGAAATATGTCAGCTACTCGGCATGCACGACCTTGGATGATATGAAAGTGAGGGCAAGGGAGAAGGAGATATATAGAGCACGTTAGGAAGAGAAAGGTGGAAACTGGGCAGATGACTAGGGTTTCTGGGAAGAAACCCAAGGGATTCGACTAGAGGTTGCAGGGCCAGTGGGATTGGAGCCACTGCAGGAAATGCAGCCAGACGCATGAGGGAGTTTGCAGATTAAGGGGTTGGGGCTGCTATAAGTGAGGAAAGCTTGGGCACTTTGGCAGGGATTGTATTGACCCTACCCCCACCCTTCAGACATCAGACTTGATTTGCTTCCATTGCAATCAGAAGGGCCATAAAAGGACAACTGCTCGAGATTGGTATCATCAGCGCCAGTGGCAACGCTAGCTCCAGCAACCCTGCGGATTACGGATGGCCGACATGCCAAGATAGATGCTCTAGTGGTGAGGAGCTAAGCCTTCCAGCTGACCGCCGAGGAGGCACGTGCCATACCGGATGTGGTAACGGGTATGTTTCTTCTCCCTAACTTTTATTGCATGTTAGTTTTGATATTTATATTCTATGTGTTCTGTTTAGGATCGTTCCATGTGAACGGCGTCCCAGTACATGTGTTATTTAACTTGGGGGATAGTCGATCATTTGTATCTTTTGCACTCAGCAAGAGGTTTGCTGAGTCTTCAGGCATGTTGGATTGTATTTTAGAGGTTGAGATTGTGGACGACCGATCCGTCCGGGCATCAGAGGTCCATAAAGACTGTGTCTTGAGGATGTATGACGAGTGTTACCTTGTGGATTTGGTTCCCATACCTTTGTGTGGGAGCAAGGTCATCATAGGCATGGATTGATTAATCCCTAATGATGTGGTGATCGACTGTGAGCAGTAGTTGGTTCGTGTCAGGACCTCAAGTAGGGGAGAGTTGGTGATTTAGGCGAGAGGCTGCAGCGTGGGCCAACTTTGTGTTCAGCAGTGAGCGATAGGCGCTACCTTCAACAGGGTTACGTATGTTATGTCGCCTATGTTATAGATACCTGGGAGAAGGGTAAGGAAACCGTAAGTGATGTGCAAGTTGTGTGGGAGTATCCGAATGTGTTCCCGGAGGAGTTTCCTGGGATACCTCTGATGGGTTTTGAGCATATCTGCAATCCTATCTGATTATGCAATCCTAATTGCTTTGGATCTAAGTTATTCTCTATTGAACATGCAAATTGAATAACAAAGCAATGAACCCTAGATCTAGTATATATAATTTCAAAATTCACACACACACACAGATATATATATATATATATATATATACATATATATATATATACATATATATATATATATATATATATATATATATATATATATATGTATATATACACACACACACACACATATATATATATATATATATTAGGGTTTGATGATTATATCACTTATTATATTGTAATAACAAGACAATCCTTGAAGTCCTTGACCTCTGAAAGCTTAGTGCCCCAAGTGTTGCACCTCTAATGGAGTCATACACACTCAATGCAAAGGAGTACTTAGAGAGGTAAGGAAAATCATCTAGGTTTCTTCTTAGAATGCTTATAGCCGAAAATCCTAACTAGAGGGTCTTTAAATAGCTGTGGCTGCTAGGGTTTTTAGGTGGAAACCCTAATTCCTTGCTTAAGGCTTCAACAACCCATGGACTCCATCTTTAGAGCCCTTGGATGAAATCTATAGGGCTTCCCTATAGGATTTCATCCACTCCACTCTATGTAGTCCATTAGCCCAGCTATGCAACTATCAATGGTTTGCACAACAGTCCCTCAATTATTAATCAGTTCCTTTAATCTGAAAATTAATATTAAATTAATTTATGATTTATTACTAATTAATAATATGATTTCCATATAATATATTAATCTTGTAATATATTAATAAAATCATTCTAAGTACCAATTTATTATTCATATAATAAATCCTACTCTCTCTCTCTCTCTCTCTCTCTCTCTAGTAATCCTAATAAGTTGCATGAGTGAAGGCAACCCAAAAGGACAATGCTACAAAATCAAATCAAGTACATACCAAATATAGTTATGGGCTTAGACACCTAATCCAACAGTATCCCACTTGGATAAGTCAAATAACTATTACTGCATGCATGTCGTCAGAATCTAACTAACAATCGTAGCTTTCAAAAGCCGTTTTCGAACTCTGATCTTATCAGTAATGCGTCCTTTAGATAAGGGATCAAATATTCCTCCATTCTACAAGATATCGTATGCACATGAGACATGGATTGTAATCATTCTCTCTGTCCAAGGTATGTTTCCTGACTTCTGATTTATGACGACTAACTCCGACTACAATTGAACACATTAACTTAGTCCAGGCTTCGCCAAGCGCTTAGGTTGTCATCACTAAATCATTGAGGGGCCCACAGATATCGCATTTATCCCATTTAGGGTAAAAGGAATAGATAAAATTCGACTCATATCTTGTACTATTTACTTATCAAATCACACACAACAATATGTTTTATAACATCAAGGTACTGATGCGTTTACATATTATCAATGCGCAACCGACTTGCAAACAACAACTATATGTCTCCGTTTCAAGAATATAAGATATTATCGTCTCACAATCACTCGTGATAAAATTCATGAAGTGATTCAGATGAGCATGGGTTTAATCCAATACTCAAATTCTTATTTTAGGAGTACTAATGAACACTGCAGCAAACATTTGTTATGTCTAAGTATTTAGACAATTTGCAGTCGGATTCACGACATTCTTACCTCATTACTTACTTTCGAAGTATGATTGACTGTGGACATTCGAATAATCTTATTATTCGGGAAGTAAAACATGTGAAGTGAAACACAAGAATAATCTAATCCAATATGCTCTCAAGATTTTTGAGTATAAATAAAACACTTATTATTTAATCACCATATTAACTAGACCTTACTCGTTGTATATTGTTTCGATCTATCAACTCGATATTTGAATTTAAACAATAGTCATCCCATGCTCCAAGCATGCACACTATGTTTATCTATGGTCCTTCCTTTGTGAAACAAATCAATTGAACACATTTCCAATGATGCCCATTTCACTATTCTAAAGGCTTATCACAAGTAGGGATGAGAATTTGGCCCGAAAACCCGAACCAAACCGAAAATCGAACCGAACCAAACCGAATTAGACCCGAATAATCAATTCAATTCAGTTTTCAGGTATCTATATAAGGCTTATTCGGTTTTCGGGTTATTCGGTCCGGGTTACCCAAATAAGGGCTTATTCGATCCAAAAGGACCGAACCGAATATGAAAAGTCATATTTTTTTTCCACTTGCATGATTGCTTATTCGGTCTTAAGTTCTATCAATCGTTACCCAAAATACCCACGTAATGTTTAATGTTTAACTTATATACTTATAGATATATTTTTGGGTGTCTTAGATGTTTAATGTTTAGTGTTTAATATGTTGCTTAATAACTATATCTTAAGAATGTGGTGGTTGGATTTTAGATTTTATATATCAAGAATAGTTAATCCGTGTTATTTATGTTTATCATAAGCTACAAAAGTCATACAAAATACAATATTTATAATCACATTGTAAATGTTATTTGGGTTATTCGGCTCCTTAATCATCTTGTACATGTTATTTGGGTTATTCGGGCCGTAACCGAACCGAATCGAATAATACGCGAACCGAACCGAAACCGTATTGCTTATTTGGTTTGGTTTTCGGTTCATATAATTACCCTTATTCAGTTTTCGGTTTATTCGGGTTCAGGTGGTTCGGTTCGGTTCCGACCCGAATAACATCCCTAATCACAAGTGTAAGAATACCAAATTCTTGCCACTACTAGAATCTTGTTAGATCCAAACTTACATGCAATGTTTCTTTTGTAATGTCAAGGCACCAAGGTCACAGAGACTTGGCCATTAATATTACAAAACACTCCACTGAAGATTATTTTTACAGAACAATTCCATGGAGATGAAGTCTCAGATTCAAGGTAAATTCCTTGAACATCCTTCTTGCATAAAAGCTTCTAACTTACACATATATTCTTATCCAACTCCCATCATGGAAACATTTTCATAATTGCCATATGAAAATCCATTCTTAATAGAATCCTATCTATTCAAAATTATAATTAACACATGTGCAGAAGTAGGCAGGGGAAGACCAATTCTCAACGAAGAATCACCTCAACAATGTTGAAGACCTGGAATACTAGGTCAAATAATGTTCATGAATTTGGTCATAAAGGATCCCGGAAACATCAGACATCTTGTTGGCTGGTAAAAAAATTAAGGGAAGTCATCCATTGATAATTGATTCCTCAATTGTTGAACATCTAGAGCTCCTTCATATAATCTCTACAGTCCGTCAACTGTAGCTAGTCTCCACCACAAAAAATACATTCTGGTTATAGTTTATGACTTCAAACATTTCATTTGGGTCTTCTTTTTAAGACTCAAATCAGACACACTTCAGATCTTAATCAACTTCATCAAAGAAATAAAGCGTCACATCAAAATTCAAGTTAGAAGAATAAGAAGTGATAATGGCACAAAGTTTACTAATCAGCTGTTGAATACCTTTTTAGTATCAAAAGGGATCAGTCATAACTTCTATGCACCGTGCACACTATAGGGGAAAGGAGTAGTGGGGGAGAGGAGGAATAGAATGTTGGTTGAAGCTACTAGATCAATGCTCAACTTTGCAAACTTACCTCTCTACATTTGGGTTGAAGCAGTGACAACTACTTGTTTTGTTCAAAATCGAAGTATCATTTGGCAACACCTCAACAACCAGTAGATATTTAGATCATCTATGGCTTCTTTCTAAATATGATCAAGAGAACAGGAAAGAAATAGAGTTTTCTAAGTTTCAAGAATTAGATTCACATTCTTAGCTTCCGTTTCTTCTGCCTCGAATTTCTTTCGAAGAGCGTTGACTTCGTCAAGCTCTTTGTCTCTTTTCTTCATATCAATCCTTTTCGACTTAGATATTAACGGATTTTGATCATTTTCTTTTTCAGAAATACCTTTCCCTTTATCTTTTCCTGAACCCGAAGCTTCATTATGCTTCCGATCAGTCTCATTCTTTAACTTTTCTTCCTCATATCTCCCTTGTTTCGCAAAAGCCCTGCTTCCAAAAACACCCTACAATTGATTTAGCATTGTGAATATAAGGGGAAGATTTTTAGATAGATTCTATCTAACACAGACATTGAAGAAAGAATCACGAGTTTCGATGATTTGCAACAAACGTGTATTGATTTCGGAAATGCATCCTTTAACTAGAGATCTTTTGTCTCCAAGTTTGGAAATATTCTGGGTAACATTCTTCACCTTCTCAGTGAGGACCTTTGTTCTCTGCGTCTGCTCTACAAGTGAGTCTATAGTTTTGGTTTTAGCAGCCAAGTGATTTTGCAACTTGGTAAGCTATTCAAAAATAAAGGTGTTGAGCTCAGTATTGTCAAGCTTGATGTTCACACAAAGTTTTGAGAGAGCTTGTTTTTCATCTTTCAAAGAGGACCGAAATCTTGCAATAACATTGTTCACATCAACTGTGTTCTTATCAGAGGAGGTCCTGAAGTTAGTAATAAATTATTTGACTTCTGTTTGTAACTGCTAGACCTTTTCAAAAGCTTTTGTGACCCTTTATTCTGAAACTTGACACACCTTCATTGTTTCTTCAAGGAATTTGGCATTCGACAATGTGAGCATCTCTACAGTAGCTTTATGAGATGTCAACATGTATTCCCATTCTGATGAAGAAGATGAGTTGGAAGACGTCAAGATAGAATAGAGCTTTTCATTCAGCTGCTTGAACTATCCTTTTGTTAATGGAGCGTCGTCTTCGTCACTGATGATGTTGATAGTGAAGGCGTTGAAGAAAAAAATCAGTAATCGGTTCTTGATCTTCACCAAACAAGACGTCTTCATCATTATGTTTAGGAGGTACGAAAGATGAAATGACCCAAAATACAACCAAAACATTTTTGTTTTAACTTTACTAAAATCACATCATCAATGTTGTACATAATAAAACCATAGAATGAGTAACTCAAAATTCATAACAACTGTATCAATCATGTCAAATATCTGAGTAAAACGCCTAGGATAAAACTGAAGCGGTGGTGTGTGTGATGCCATCAACCCGAGCTCTTCCCTTTGCTAGTGGAAGTACCTGAAACCAAAACTGAAATTGTAATTATGAGGCTTAGTGAGCTCCCCCAAACTACCACATACCATACAATAACACATAAACAACTATTGGGCCTTGCCCACTGCATCGGACCGGAGTCCGGAAACTGCATCAGACCGAAGTCTGGAAATAAGCAGGGCCTTGCCCTCTGCATCAGACCAAAGTCCAGAAACTGCATCGGACCGAAGTTCGGAACTGACTGGGACCTTGTCCGGAACTAACTACATCAGATCGAAATCCGGAACTGACTGGGACCTTGTCGCCTGCATCGGACCGAAGTCCAGAAACTGACTGAGCATAACATAGCATAGTATAAACATATCAACTAGAATAAACACATATATTCCATACTGCATCGGAACGAAGTCAAGAACACATAACACAAACACATGCTTGAATCATAAAGACATCAAGCCCACTAAACTACTGCATCGGACCAAAGTCCGGAACTATTGCATCGGAGACGGGCCGACATTGTTGCCATAGACCCGTTCCAACTAGAAGGAAAAATCACCTCATAATGCTGGCTGCTGAGATGCTAACTCTAAAACTGGCTAACTGCTACTCCGGAACTCTCCGGCTACAAATCCCAAAAACACTAGATCAGGTACCGATAAATGCCCTTAGGGTAAAATGACTATTTTACCCCTAGTTAAAGTCAACTCCCTGGTCAAAGTCAACTACCTTGTCAAAGTCAACTTTCAGTTGACGGAACTCGCCGAGTCAGGGCGTAGACTCACCGAGTCCCTCCATCACTAGATCTGACTCTAACTCACCGAGTCCCTTCCCTACTCACTGATTCACCCTAAACTCTCAAATCGGGGAAAACAGGGACTCGCGACTCGACTTGTGAGTCTGAAGAACAAATCGCAGAGTCCCAAGCATGCAGATTCCATACAGTCGATTCTAACCCATTTCAGAGCATCTAACTCATAGATCTCAGCTCCTAGGATTATCTGAACATGTAAAGTTGCTAACTTTATGTGTAACCAAGAAGAAATGAAGCTATTTCACTCAAACTCTACTATTATGGGGTTAATAAGCCAAAACAAAGCCATGGATGACAAAAAGGGGATCTCCTTGAGCTCCTTGAGCCTAAGAGAGGCTAGATCTGAAGTATAACTCAATCATAAGGCTTTATCACAAAGGATTTGGGGGTTTTGAGCTTAATACCAACAATTTGGGGACAAACTAGATCTATTAGATCAATAAACAAGATGGAGACTTTATTACCAGAAAAGATGACCACAAAAGAGTGTGTTATGGATCTACTTCTTCTTCCTTGAGCTCTTCAACCTTCTCCTTCTTCTATTTGCTCCAAAATGCACCAAACGTTCCTTCACAAGGCAAAAATCACTCACAAATTCTTCAAGGAGGCTAGGGTTTGATAAGAAATGTTCTGAGGGTGATGAAGGCTAGGTTGGGGTGCATAAATGTGTTTAAATAGGGTGCAAACCCTTAAAATTAGGGCTTCATCCAGACAGGCAGATTGGTCGAGTCCCAGCGTATGGACTCGTCGAGCAGCCACCTTAAATTGCGTGATTATCCCGTCTCTACTCGACGAGTCGGGCTATAGACTCGTCGAGTACCCCTTAAGAAATGAAGACACTTTGTTTAAATTACATACCAGAAACGAGGCGTTACAACTCTCCCCCACTTATCTTAGACTTCGTCCTCAAAGTCTACTGCTGCTAAATTTGAAAATAACTCTGGATAATGCTCCCTCATCTCCCCCTCAGTCTCCCACGTCCACTCTGAACCCTTTCGGTGCTGCCCCTACACCTTCAATAACTGAACCACCTTGTTCCTCAAGGTCTTCATCTTCCGATCTAAGATCGCAACTGGTCTCTCGATATAATTCAGGGTGCTAACAACCTGAATATCCTCCAAGGGTACAACTGCTGACTCGTCCACTAAGCACTTCCTCAACTGAGAAACATGGAAAGTGTTGTGGATCTGGCTAAGCTCTGCCGGAAGATCCAACCGATAAGCAACCCGACCTACCTAGGGCAAAACCCTAAAAGGACCAATGAGCCTGGGGCCCAACTTGCCCCTCTTCCAAAACCTGATAACACCCTTATAGGGTGATACCTTCAGGAGGACCATATCGCCCACCTGAAATTCCAAGTCCGAACACCTCCTGTTGGCGTAACTCTTTTGCCGACTCTGCGCAGTCTGCAGTCTGCTACGAACCTGCTGGATCAACTCTGTGGTCTTGAGCACCACTACGGTGCTCCTGATGACTCGCTGACTGACCTCGCCCCAATAAATTGGGGTCCTACACTTCCTCCCGTAGAGCATCTCAAAAGGAGGGCGGTCAATACTAGCATGGTAACTGTTGTTATACGAAAATTCCACTAGTGGAAGATATGTATCCCAACTACCACCAAAGTCTAGGACACATACTTGAAGCATGTCCTTGAGTGTCTGAATCGTCCTCTAGCTCTGCACGTCCGTATGACGGTGGAAAGCGGTGCTAAAATGAAGACGAGTCCCCATCTCGTCATGAAACCACTTCCAAAACCTGGAAGCGAACTGGACCTCTCGATCTGATACTACTGATATAGGCACTCCATGTCGTGCTACTACTTCGTGCACATAAATATCGGCTAGCTTCTCAGCTGATATACTCTCTTGGATCGGTATGAAATGCGCACTCTTGGTCAGTCGATCCACCACAACCCAAATCGAGTCAACTCCACGTGCGGTCTTGGGAAGCTTAGTGATGAAATCCATAGTGATATCCTACCATTTCCACACGGGAATGTCCAATGGCTGCATCTTTCTGTGAGGCCTCTAGTGCTCCGCGTTGACCTTCCTGGAGGTCAGGCATCTCTCCACGTACCAGGCTACGTCCTGCTTCATGCAGGGCCACCAATAATTAGGTCGAATATCTCTATACATCTTCGTTGCCCATGGATGGATGGAGAAACGAGACTTATGGGCCTTGTCCATCAACACTTGCCGTACTCTGCCCCAGTATGGAACCCATACTCTCCCATGAAGGGTCAATAGTCCTTGACTATCATAATCAAAGGAAGCCACTCGGCCCACAATCCTCTCACACTTCTGCCTCTCCTCCTTCAGGCCCTCAACATGTGCTTCTTTAATTTTCTCCAACGAGGAAGTAATCACAATCATCCTCAAACAAATATCCCTAATCAGGGATGAAACCGCCTTACGGCTCAGGGCGTCGGCCACTACATTGGCCTTACCTGGATGATAAAGGATCTCACAATCATCACCATCTGCGCCGCCTCATGTTCAAATTCGGCTTATCCATGAGGTACCTCAAACTTTTGTGATCCGTGTAAATGGTACAACGGACCCCATAGAGGTATTGTCTCAAAATCTTGAGGTCAAACACCACTGCCCCCAACTCTAAATCGCGCGTCAGATAGTTAGCCTCATGAGGCTTCAACTGTTTAGAGGCATAAGCTATCGCATGTCGTCGCTGCATCAACACTGCTCCCATCCTTGTGATCGAAGCATCACAGTAGACTACGAAGTCATCCACTCCCTATGGAAGGGTAAGAATTGGTGCCTCACACAATCGCTGTCTGAGGGTCTCAAATGCTGCCTGCTGCTCAGGCCCCCAACGAAACACTACCGACTTCCTAGTCAGTTGGGTGAACGGAACTGCTATCTTGGAGAAATCCTGAATGAATCTCCGATAGTACCCTGCCAAACCTAGGAAGCTCTGAATCTCAGATGGAGACTTCGGGACTTCGCTCTGCATCACGGCCTCTATCTTGGCTGGATCTACCAGTATACCCTTCTGGTTGACGAGGTGTCTAAGGAACTGCACTTTTTGCAACCAAAACTCACACTTGGAGATCTTTGCGAAAAGTCTCTTACTCCTTAAAATCTCTAGCACCTCCCTTAGGTGCTCCTCGTGCTTCTCCTGAGTCTTGGAATAGACCAAGATGTCGTCGATAAACACTATCATAGACCGATCCAACATCGGTCTGCATACACGATTCATGAGATCCATGAACGCGGGCGGAGCATTGTTGAGCCCAAATGGCATCACCACAAACTCATAATGACCATAGCGGGTCCTAAAAGCAGTCTTCTGCACATCCTCACCTCTAACCCACATCTGATGATACCCAGAGTGCAAATCATTCTTTGAGAACCAAGACGCTCCCTGAAGCTGATCAAATAGGTCGTCTATCCTCGGAAGTAGGTAGCAATTCTTCACCGTCACCTTATTCAACTCCCAGTAGTCTATACACATACGGTGTGACCCATCCTTCTTCTTTACAAACAGGATCGGGGCTCCCCAATGTGAACTGCCCGGCCTGATAAAACCCTTGTCTAGCAGCTCCTGCAGCTGCGTAGACAACTCCTACATCTCTGGAGGAGCCAACCGTTATGGTGCCTTGGCTATCGGAGCCGCACCAGGAACCAGGTCAATCCTGAACTCAGCCTGCCTCTCTGGAGGTATCCCAGGAAAATCCTCCGGGAATACATCCAGGTAGTCTCGCACTACTAGTACATCGTTGACTGTCGCCTTGCTCTTCTCTCGGGAATCTAAAACATAGGC